TTTTCCTTAGGTGTGAGTGTGTATGTGAATGGTTGTTTGTCCTGTGTGTCTCTGTGTTGCCCTGCGATGGACTGGCAACCTGTCCAGGGTGTACCCCGCCTCTCGCCCATTGACTGCTGGAGATAGGCGCCAGCACCCCTCGCGACCCCAATTGGGACAAGCGTGTAAGATAATGGATGGATGGATGGATGGATGGATGGATGGATATATATGTATATGTATATATAAATTTATTTCTAAGAGCGTTAAAAGAGCATTAAATAGTTCCTCATTCCTGTATAAACCCTGATTATGTAAAATGATTTCAGATTTAGAATATGTAGCCAACCTTTTCATCTTAGTCTAGTCTGGATGTGTGGTCCCCGAGGTTCGGTGTCCTGCACTGTTTAGATGTGTCTGTTCTAGGGATGCCCCGTTATGAAGATTGACTTAATATTAATATGGCACTAAAAGCCAAGAAGCGTTTTAACACCCACAATCCTGAGCTGCATCACAATCAGTGTCACATGACACCTGGTGTATATTTTCTCTGAAATCCTCTTTAAGGAACCTTTTATAATCTGATTACTATTTAATTAAGAGCAGCTACTTTAAAATAAGTACTAGTTGTTAACATGAGCCCAAGTTTTACTTACCTGACCGATTTTTCGATCCAACTGAAGAGTTAAAATCTTCCCCTTTTTCCGTGAAAAACAAAAGCCAGGGCATGGAATATATTGATGCTGAATCATCGTCCACCCCATCTCCGATTCAGTTAAATTTAATTTGATTTGATCTGATTGAGTTGATTTTATCGGGGAAAGCAAATCAGAAGATGTCATATGTAAAAAAAAAAAAAATGAAACAAAAAAACTGTTCTCCACATTGGTTTTCTAGCCAAAGGCTTATTTGTAAACACATTCATTGGTTGGACCTTTAATAAAAAAAGATATCCAAACAAGGATTCACGTCACATACAAAGAATCTCTAAGAATACAACCAAAAAGAATAAAATACCACATATAAATACTAACTCCCCAAACCAGGGCAGAACAGTGGATTCACCAATTTCTAAGAATATAAACCACAGGTCCTTTTAAGTAAAACATTTCGTTCTAGTTTGAGGAGTTATTTTGGAAGCTTGTCTAATGCTTTAAATGTTTATTTTTAAGTTCCAATTCCTTCTGAAGAAATAGATCCATGCTGGTTTTTGTTTCCTATTCGTTCTCCAGATGAGGGAGCTGCAGTCGCTGGGCTTCCAGGATGTTTCGCAGTGCGAGGAGGCGCTGCGACAGAGCGGCGGCGACATTAAAGGAGCCCTCTCTCTGCTCCAGCGCCCTCTAATGGAACCCTTCCACCAGCGCATCTGGCTTGACCAGCCCGAGCCGCCGATCAATCCCAAGCATCCAGACAAGCAGGTTAGACGATTTTACAGCCTTTTGGTTCCTCTGGAAGTTTTGAATTCCTTCATCACACCCCCTATGGATGCTTGTTGCTGTTTAGAGGATGTGCAGGCGTCTGCTGGCGTTATACGACCTGCCCAGCTGGGGGCGCTGTGAGCTCGCCCTGTCTCTGCTTCAAGAACCAGAAATCAATTACTCCCTGGAGGATGTGGTGCAGGCTGTGAAAGAGTCTCATGACAGGGAGTTCATCAGGCGTCTCCTGAACACGGAGTGTCCCGTCTGCCTGGGCATCTTCCCCCGCAGCAAGGTCAGTCAGATCGCCACTCTCTTTTCCACATTTATCTTTTATATCACTCAACTGACTGACTGAAGTGCTTTGATCATATGTGTTATAAACCTGCACATTTTTAGGGTAACAAAATGTTTTATTTATAAGTTTAAACATTCTTAATCCTTTTTTTTAGTAATTTTGATGAATGGCTAATCCATGCCTGAGATGTTCTTGAATGCACCATAAAGGTGCAGCTGCTCAGACGGTTGTATGTTGTCTGCTGAAGGCCTTTAATGTCAAACAGCATCTAATGCAGGTTGGTTTCTTTCCCTGCAGATGCAGTCTCTGACGTCCTGCCAGTGCTCAGTCTGCCATGAATGTTTCCGGCAGCACTTCACCATCGCTGTCAGAGACAAACACATCAGGGACATGGTGTGTCCCGCCTGCTGCGAGCCGGACATCAACGACCCCGAGCAGCTGGACAGCTACTTCTCCACGCTGGACATCCAGGTGAACTGGGAGAAAATACGGCTGCATCCTGATGTGCTGAAATGTTTCTGTTATGCTACATTCAGACTGCACCCTGCAGAAGCAGCTAGTTTACCTGCAAAGGCATCGGTTGACGAGCATCAAGGCGCAACAAAAGGTCTCGCAGTGCGTTATGAGCAACCGAAGCAGCGCCTCACGAGCTTCTGAGCATCTGACGCGCGACATGCTACAGGAACAGCAGCTTTTGCTGCTCGACGCACCACATCAACCAATCAGAGAAGCTGATCTGGGAGGTGGCAGGGAGACAAAGTACTGCTGATGCAGCTCACTATGATCACTCCTCTGAAACAGTTTATTAACACCTAAATTAACTTAAAGGTGAAGTAGGAGATCTTTTCCGATGTATTTTTTATAATTTGGATTGAAGATCTCCCCACAGCCGTGTAGCAAGGAGTGAAAAAGAAGGTCTGGAATTGAAACGAAAATAAATGGTCCCCACTACAGTGTAAAATCAATGAGTAATGTCCACCAATCACAAAACAGGGTCCGTGGTCTACTTATTATGGTTATGGTTAAGGTTTTGACACATAAACGAATCGACCACTCAATCCTCATGCAGGCTCGAGGACCAGTGACGTCACCTGAACTCAGTCACATTACCTAATTCAAAGCCATGGTCGGTCTGCGAGTTACTTAGCTCAGTCTTCCATATTGTCTCGATAGCAGCAGAAGGAAAGCTATAGTTCTACTGCAGACAATGGCAGAATGGGCTCCATGTCTTATGTTGTTATTAGCTTGTGTCACGAGCACTCTGTCTCGACTTGTTTCATTCTCGGAAACATCCAAACACCTCGACGGACAGCCTGCGCAGTCATGTATTTCGAAGGCGTAGTTTCGAGAGATGGTCTGAAGGGAGAGGCACGGTTGTGTATTTTCACAGATATAGCTTGCTGGAACCATTTTTTTCCAAGATCTCCTACGCCACCTTTAAAATGTCGAAGCCTGAGGGCAAAATATGTTCGCTTTTATTATTCTGGTGACTGCAGTTTGGGTTACATACTTGAAAAACACCTTCAAGCTGCCGCGAACAGTAGCGGAAACAGCAGAGGCGACCAGGCCAGAGGCCGCTGTTGAATGGAATCTCCAGTGACAGATCCTCCGACAGCGAAATAAAATTTGAAGGCAGGATAGTAATCTTGATGAACTGACTGCACAGATGAAGTTTTCAGTTGGACTTTGTCACTTAAAATCATATTAAAACTATTTTACCCACTGATCACAGCAAATATAGCTGCCAAAAAGTGGATAGGATAGCTCCTCCCAACGTGCATCAGACCTACTTTTCGACCGTGCAGCCAGAGCACCAAAGATGCTTCAGCTGAGCGTCAGAACTAAACTTGTACAAGCATCAAAAATGAAGCAGCACGTGCGTTTTGGCTTCTTCTGCTGCGTGCGATTCGAACGTAGCATTAGCTGGCTCTCATTAGCATGAATCTAATTACTGAAATTAACTTTTAAAGGAAGGACACTGAGACACAATAACTTAGGTTTTGGCCTATTTATGCCTCATAATCTGTAATCATTGTTTTATGCTAGTTTATAGCAAAATAAGAGTTCATATTCAGTGTTTATTAATACAAATATAGGGAAATACGTGCATTTATGCAGCATTAAACAAAAAAAAAATATTCTGGAAGAGCTGTAGATCATGAGGTCACAGCTTGTTGAATTAGAAGCAGTGTTGTTGTTTAGCTGAGTCCTAAATGAACTTTGCAGCCTAAGGTTCATTGTAAAGAAGTCTTGTTCTTGTTTCGTTCTGCAGCTGCGGGACTGCCTGGAGCCTGAAGTGTACGAGCTGTTTCACAAAAAACTGACGGAGCACGCCCTCATGAAAGACCCAAAATTCCTCTGGTGCTGTCATGTGAGTATTTAGGACCATTCAAAGCTTTTGTTTATCAGTCTAAAGAATTGACAGTTTACATACTTTCCAAGCCTTCAGTCTTTAAGCTCTTGTGTTTGTTTACTGAGTTCAGCTGTTTGTTCAAAGAATGAGACACAAAAATGAAGGTTTTTTTTGTGGCGTCAAATGAATTTTATTCTTCTCAATCTGCTTATTAAAGTCCTGTGGTTTAGGAATCACTAGAAATAAGATCCCTGCAGCCAGGATTGTACTTTGTGTTAATCCTTGTTGAAAGAAAAGTGTTCAAGGTGTGATACACGTTACTCTATGATTTATTATTTTGTTGCTCAAATGGTGTAACAAAATGTAAAGCTGTTTTTTTTTTTAAGTTGTTTTTCCTTTTTTTTATTAGGTTCTAAAATGAAAAAACCAAATTGCCTCAAAGCAAAAGTAGCACAAAACAGAAAAAATGTTGCTGAACTCTTTAATCTCCAGATGAAGGCAATATGTTTTCCTAAATTAAACTTTGATCAATTTAGTTGAGTAGATACATTTTTTATCATATTGATGAGAAACATTCTTTAGAAAAGATCAAAATTTAGTTTTATTTAATTAAATGTTTTGTCTCTCTACCCTTATCTAAGGAAGCATCCTTTCCTTTTTTATTTGGTGATGTCCCGTTTTATTTAGATTTTTAACATTTCTGAGCCAAATGGAAAAGCAGAACCCAAATGAATCTAAACGTGAATCCATAGAAGTCGTGCTCTAGATGGATTTGAACGTTTGTAGGTTGTTGCTGAACGACTGAATTAGCTGAATTTTGAGTTTAATGCACTTCCTGTAATGTTACTGCTGAAGTAAATTATGCCAAAAGTGGAAGAAAGGGGGCGCTGTGGGACTCTGTGGTAGAGCAGCATATACTGAGGAAGTAAACATACTTTAGAATTTTCCTACAAGAGGTACTTCACTTCTTTTTTTATTTATGTATTTATTTTTACACAGACTTTTTACAGTTATTGCCATAATTTACATAAGTTTAACTTGATTTTGGTAAAAAAGAAGAGAAAATCCATCCCTGTTTGGACGTCAGCTCAGCCATATTTCACAGCATAACCAACTTTCAAAGGTTAAACATTGTATAGAGTTGGGCTTCATATCCATTAGTATTTATATATATTTAACGTTTTTACAGTTTTATTATTGTTATTTTCTATCTTATTCCACAGAATATTTACATTTATCATGTGATATATTAGGATGAATTTTAATTATCTCAGTATTACAGTTTATGTACACTGGTTTTCTGATTTAAATGTATAAATCTCTGTGTTTCCCTGGTTGCTGCAGCATTTATGGCTCTCTGTCAGTTAAAGCCAGAAGTGACAGTTTATCTAAACAAACTCCAGCTGACTTTTTTTTTTATTTTAAAAACTTGAATTGCTCTCTTTAACTTCTCCCATGCATGACAAGAAAACATTGTAGAATCTCTGAGAATCTAAAAAGACGGTCGGGCTGATCGTTCTGAAATCCTCTAATCATCAGAATTTTATTTATAAAGCTTGTCTGCACAGTGACGGTTAGCTTCTTGTCTCTGACCAGATAAAAATGCTATACTCCCAAATGCAAATTTAATAGTTCATAGTTGTTTTTTTTTTATGATTTATCTACCACAACTCAGGAAAAGCCTCGCTGAACAGGTTCATCTTCATCATGTTAATCCATCATGGCTGCCTCCTTAGAGACTGGATGATATTTGCAAACTGGTTCATCTTGGAGTAGAACTGACTAAATAGAGGAATCTAAAGAGAAGCTTTTGTTCTGGTTCTTTGTTCCCGAAGAAATCAAATCGCAAACAGGAAAGTAATTTTAACACAGATGTTAAAAATTCTTTAAAATCTATGCAAAACGATATCGAAAAAAGTAAAACAAAAAATTCTTAAATAAAGTGTATTTACCCTTAATTTGAGCAGGTAAATAAGATGATTTGCCAATCAATTCAGGATACTTACTCTTAATATAAGATAATTAGATATTATGCACTTGAAATAAGAAAATGCAGTTGTTTTTTCTTAATTTAAATCCAAATTGTCTTTTTCCATTCAAACTTTTCTCTCTTAGCTGATCAATTAAAAAAACAAAAACTCCCATATTAAAAAAAAAAAAGAAACCTATTTAAGGTTACATTTTTTGCAGTGTGGCATTTCTAACAGCTGTTGCTTTTCAACCTTTTAGAGTTTCTCCTGAAATGTTTTCCCTTCATTTATTAGTTAATTTAGTGAAACCAAGGCAAACACTCCTAAAATCATTTTTCTGTTTCTCAAATTAATGAACAGTTTATTCATTCCCTTATCTTCTTCCTTCAGTGCACCTCCGGCTTTATCAACGACGGAAACCAGCTGAAGGTCACCTGCCCGTCGTGCCGAAAGAGTTTCTGTGCTCAGTGCAAGAAACCGGTGAGTTTAAACTCTGTAGGAAATTCCAGCACATGTAGGAGTTTTGCTCAGCTTGTTTTAGGACTGATAGAAAACATGTCCTTGAGCTGCTGAGGAGGCCCCTCTGAGCAGGAATCCCCCCCATTGTATCTCTTTTCCAGTGGGAGCCTCAGCACCAGGACGTATCCTGCGAGCAGTTCCAGCTGTGGAAGAGGGAGAACGACCCGGAGTATCAGAGGCAGGGCCTGGCCGGTTATCTGAGGGACAACGGCATCAGTAAGGCTCAGAACAAAGCATAACCAGAAGTTTCAGTTCAGGTTTTCTGCACCTCTTCGGTTAGCCTCAACCGCATCACTTCTTTTTCTGTTGAAATGATCATTAACAAACAGCTGTAAGATGCACTGACCAGAAACTTATTTCTAGCTGTATGGATGTACTTAAAAAACCTTATCAAATATACTAAAGAAATATATGCACCTCTCTAATCTTCCACCAGACTCTGGAATATTGATGTCCAAATAAAACAGCTGAAGCCTTTATGTAGGACTCATCTCTATAGTGCATCCTGATGCACTGACTCCAGTCTCCTCCCTCTTAATCCTGACTTTTGAATGGATTTGATTGACAACCCTCCTTGTTGCTGGTGCACCTTTTCCTATTACAGTTTTTCCTTACTTTCTATAAATATGCTTGAATACTGCACCCAGCTTCTTCAGCAATAACCTTCGTTGTCCTTTGACCTCTCTCCAGATTAGCAGCTAGATTTTGCTGCAGCCCTGTGGCCCCAGAGACTCTTTCAAACTGGTTTAAGATGGATATAGCAGGCTAAGGTGATACTATTGACTGAGAGCAGTGATGGTTTAAAACTTGTGGTCTTAAATCTGGTCGATTTCCACATATTTACATGAACTCCACCAATTCTGTTAAGAAAAGTGGTTTAACATCCAATCAGAATTGAGCCTGAAGCTTGTTGATGTCATTGGAGGAGAATCTTCTAATCCAGATTAATCCCAAAATATGGAGTGATGCTTTAACCTCTTAACATCCACCGCCCGATATCGGTAAGGTGAATCCCAGCATATTAAACCTCTTTAGAATCAGCCAATACTAAGGAAAATGACCATCAACTCAAATGTAAGCAAACCATTCACTATAAAAACAAATGACTAATAAACACGGAAAACCATGAAACACGGCAAACCATGGCAAAAATAGGCTCATTTAGTCCATAATACCCTGGTGTATTTCCCAAAAACTAGATTTAGATTAAGTGATCATTTTTTTGCTATTAAAAAGCAAAAACGTAAAGATATAAGCTTATAATCCATCTCCATAATAATACTTATCCGCCATTTTAGATCATCTGCATTGCATGGACGTATTTGCCAACCTATTTACTCCATACTTTGAGTGTAACTTCCACTTTGGCCATCCACAATAATATGGAAAATTCCTCTACATAAAAAAAGACCATGCGTCACATAGCCTTTGTTCAGCTGGAGCTTGACAACATAATGACCGATTGACCTTTGATGGACATATTTTGTTAGCCAATAAGATAAGCTTTGCAATTATATATTAGAAGTGTAGGAGTGGGCTGAAAATATAAGTTTTATTTACCTGCGTAAAGAGTGACAGGAGAGGAGCACTTAGTGGCTACACATGGAGTGGACTTTCAAGCTAATTGAAAAAAACAGTGCTTGAATGAAAATTTGAGGAAATCTAAACTTAAAAATCAATTAAATCACTTTTGAACATTTGGTCCAAATTTGGCACAATTGTGCCGAATCAACCTTTTACATACAAAAAGGGTCAGAGTTTCACAATGCTTATGACACAAGATCTGAAATTAACACAGTTGTTGTCCTCATGAAGAAAAAAGGTAGTAAGAGGTCAACTATAATTATACAAAAGGTATAACATCATAAAAAAATATATATATATATATTTTTTTTTTTTATTATTTGAGGGGGTAAAAAATGTTTTTTTTGGACTTGTTTGAAGTCACACAGCTCTGGTTGTGTAAAACTTACAGTCTGCACACATATCTCCAGAAACTAGAAGATCTTAGCTTTAAAATGAGATATATCCCCAGCATGTGAGATTTATAATATTATTTTATTGACCCATGGCATTTTAGGTGTGCAAGGTGGGTGGTAATGGTTTAAAGCAAAAAAAAAACATGTAAGGCACGAGGAAAAGAGTCCTAAAAGCGTCAGTGATGGATAAACACTGACAAAGACGCATCCTTCTACCATTTACTGGAGTCTGAATTTAATGTATATAGTATTTAAATGTTTATGGAATGTCTAGTTTATTACACACTGGAAAAACAATCTAGGAAATTTCTCAAATTAAGTGCATTTACCCTTAATATGAGTAGGTTAATGAGATAGTTTGCCAATGGAATTAGTTATTTTATTCTTAAAATAAGATACTTAGATAATATGCACTTGTGTTTTGTTATTTTAAATGTAAATTGTCTTGTTCCATTGGCAGAATGTCTCTTTTACCTCCTCAATCCAAGAACAAATGCACCTATTTTAAGAAAACATGACTTATCTAGATTTAGATTTTTTTTCCAGTGCACATCCTAAGACTGTTCGCTCTTCTTCAGGTAAAGCAGGTCTGCCCAGAGCTAATTTAGTGCCGTGTTCCACTTCCTATCTGTTATCTTTTGCAGCCTGTCCTCAGTGTAAGTTCCAGTACGCTCTGACCAAAGGCGGCTGCATGCACTTCACCTGCTCCCAGTGTCGGCATCAGTTCTGCAGCGGCTGCAACAACCCCTACTACAAGGTTTGTTCTATTCAAACACCTGTCAGCTGGAGTCCTGAACTTTGACGCAAACGTTTAATCTCACCTTTATAATATGCAAAGATTCCAGAGCCGCGCCCGACACTTATCTGTGTCTGTGTGCCTTTAAATGGCTCTTCCACTCTTTACATCTCTGACGTGTTGCTGTTTAAACACTGAGCAATGAGGTGTGACGTATTAAATATGGAGTTATTCTGCATCCAGAAAATCAAGGAAATAAAGAAATACGGTTTTCAAGGCGTCAATCATTCTGAAAATGTCTTAATGTGCAGATTTTGTTTCACTCTCCAATTGTTCAGCCTTTCTGTGTTTCCATCTTTCTGTCCATCACTCCATCCATAAACTTTCCTTTCCTTTACATCCGTCATTTACATCTCTCCTTCTGCCTATTCTTATTGCTTTTTTTCATTGTATCCCTCTGTCCTACCTAGCTTACCCTCCTTCTCCTTTCAGTCTCACCTTTCATCCATCCTTGTTTGTTTATTCCATCCCTTCTAATGTCCTTCCTTCCTGTCGATCAGTCTTTTTATTCACAGGTTTTATATTTAAAGTCTGATCCTGTTGGAAAGTCAAAGTAAGATTCTGAGAAGCTAAAACTTGTAATAGTTTAGGACCGAACAAAGGAACCGACTAAAGATCTGATTTAGAGCTTAACCTGACAAACATGGAGACTTTAGGGACCTAAAGTGAAACCTCGTAGATTCACAGCACTACTAACCTCTTTCCAATTGCTAATTTCCAGTGGCGGCTGTTTTTAAAAGACCATTTCTAAAGCAAAAAAAAAAGAAATTGCTTCAAATTAACCTTTTTTTTTATGGGAGAAAAAAACGCAGAAACTTGCGACTGGTTGAGGTTTTTAGTGAAACTGACAGATACTGATTTGATCTTTCTTTTCTCTTGCAGACTGAGTGCAAGGTGCCTCAGTGCAAATGCTCGGGGCTGCATGCTCATCATCCTCGGGACTGCCTGTTCTATCTCAGAGACTGGGACGCAGATCGGCTGCAAGCTCTTCTTCAGGTAAAGCAGGCCTCTGTTTGCCATGAATACGATATGTTCACCTTTCTCACTAAGATCACTGAAAGTCCACCCATTTACCCAGAACTATTATGGAGTACAACATCTCAATACTATATAAAACATGGCAGAAACATGAAATATAACACATGGATCTTAAGGATTTTTTTTTTTTACATTTCTCCACTTCCTTAGTATATGGTTAGCTTTCTCTCTCTCTACCTGTTCTTCTCGCTTTCTCTTTTTTTTTATCCACTCTGTGATTTATGTAATGTCTGAATTATAAAGCTTACAGCCCCAAGAATATTTTTTATAAATTTTCTTGTGACCCCTTTGTTTTCATCCCCTTGAATGTGTAATAACTGGCACTGAGGGACTCAAATGCTGTCTTTGCTGTGTACATTATAGAAAAAGGGTTTGTTGCATATTTGCAGCCGTGGGCATCAAAGGGTTAAGGAACAGACATAGAAGCAGCAAGAAAACTGACTCTACAAGTTTAACTCTGGAAATGTGTTTAGTTATAAAGAGAAAACAAACTGCAGGTCTATTTTTGTCATTAGTACTCCAGGAAATGGAGTAAAAAAAGATCTTACATTTTTGAAGGCCACACAGCGACGGAATGCCTGCTTGGAAATTTTTTTTTATCAGAGCTGTATGTAGATTGGCTGATTTAAAATATATGCAAGAGCTTGAAAAAAAAAAAAAAAGTCGTAGGGAATCATATTTAAATGTCAAATCATTCTGGCTTAAACATTTATAAATGTACTCTTTGTCAGACTTTATCAGAAATTTAGAAAATTTCTATAAAAAAAAAAAAAAAATCCCTTCTTAAAATCAAATTTTTTCCGTTATTTCATGCAGGCCAGTTAGTTATACGTCAGCCTGAACACTAAATTCAGCCAATCATATATCAACGGTCATCTGTCAATCAAATTTTTTCAGTCATAGCATCTTGATTCATATGTCGCAGCTAATATACGCAACAGTTGAAATCCGAAACATTTCCTTTCCCATTGAGTTCCGTCCCAGTGTTCACTGGGATGGACGTCTGTTTCTTCAGCAGGCGTAGAGCTAACAGAACTGGCAGCGTTGTGAGGCAAGGGCTCAAACATGTACGGCTGGAAGCCTTCTACACCAAACCAAGCTTCTGCCGCCCTGGCGTCCTCTTCCACAACATCTTCGTCCCGCTTTCCTCCTCTAAATAAAAAATGTATGACAGAGGAGACTCATCCATGACCTCCGACACTAAACTCTCCTCCTCTTGCGTGTTTCCTCTGTCCATAGCGTTTCTTCACAGTGTCGTTTCTAAGTCACCAATTTAGTGCTACTTGGTCCCAATGGAATTTGGGACCAAGTTGCTAACTGGTTAGCAAGATGCTTCCGACAAACCGGCCACAACCAAATAGCTGGCGAAACTTCCACCACAACAATCCCGCCCCCTTCATAATCGAGCAATCACATTCACTTTATTCACTCGTGTAAAGTCGGGCCCCGAATCGGGAGAATTCGGAAATGCAACCATTGGAACAGCAGCTTCCCTTAAAGTTTAATTTAGGTTAATTGAAAAAATATATAATTCCACCCTGATAAGGTTTTTAGTGTCAATTTGATTCCCTTTCTTGCGTTTTTTTTCTCAGCGGGGCGGCGTGGACTTCAACACTGATCCTTCCAATGACTCCCAAACAGGTGAGTATTTTCCAGAGGGTCGACTTCCTTCTGTCATCCTCAGTGAGGATAAGTCAGAACTTTCCCCTCTTAACCCTCTGAGACTATTTTGTGCTCCAGAAACATGCGGCGTGATGGAGCAGAAGGACGAAGGCGGCCAGCAGGCCGATTCTCCATGCGGCGTTCAGTCGCAGCCGGGACAAGCTGGACTCTGCATGTGAGGCAACAAAACCGACAGGAATTACCCCAAATAAACCTGCTAACCACAAAAGATTTATTTAAATTCATCATGAATATCTGGTTTTTGTTAGAGCATAAACATTAAACCCTCATTAAATCACCACTTTCAGCAGATAAAACATAATATCCATATGTCTTCTAATCATTCTTTGTATTAGATCTGCTTCCTGATGAGATATGCATCACTTTTCTTCTCACATTCAGGTTGATAAGGTTGCGAAACCTTAGATTTGCATGTTTTTGTACCTGCAGGAAACACTACAGGGAGTACCTGGTGAGTCTGATCAACGACCACATGCTGGACCCGGCTCTTCTCTACGACGAACGGGAGCTGGTTATAGCCTGTGAGAGATACCTGATGGATTCCAAGAAAGGAGAAGGGGAGGACGACAACGCTTATAGCGCTCGCCTGAAGAAGGTGGGCATTAAATAGAGCTCCCCTTTCCAGTGAAAACCAGGAACAATGCAGAGATAATTCATGTTCTGTTTTTATTCTTTACAGGCACTGATGGAGGTTCCTCTCGGAGAAAAAGTTCCTCGAAACAAATAAACTAAAAGCAGAAATCTGTTCCCTAAAACTAAATAGATTTCCTTTGAAATCCTCACTTTTCTGGAGTTCCTGGAGCTCTTTTAATTCTTCAATGAGAACAAACCCATTTCTGTGGCGTTACTCTCCAACCATATATCTGTGATCACAAACATAATAACCGTGGTGGTTTCTCCTTTACAGACATATTTAATTTAATTTTTCTGCCTTTTGCATACAGTTCTGAAGGTGGAACAGCTGAAGGGATTAATTCACCGTATCATTATTCTTTGGATTTATTTCTGAACATGTAGGCTACATGTAGAGACGAGTAAAGCAATGTCCTATTGATTGGATTTGGGGAAAATGTTTAACTGTTTTCATTTTTTGGTGCTCATGTGATTAAATCAGATTCAAATCCAGATCACTAAATGATTTGAATAAAAAAACAATGATGATTCTATTTTTTTCCTGTTTTTTTTCCTTACCTTACTATAAATGTAGCATCTTAAGCCATTAAGGACAAAAGAATGTCATTATAGAATGATAAAATTCTGTGATGAGCAACTAAAATAATGGTTTGTATAAAAAAAAAAAAAAAAATCATCAATTGATTTTTTTTTTAACTCACAATTTAGAAATGGGTATTAAAAATGCATATCAAATTGCACTATTCTGTAATGGATTAAAATAATACCTCTTTTTAACAGCTCAATTTAAAATGTACAATTAGAAAACTCTTTTATATTTAGATTTCTAATGTATGAATTTAATGTAATATTTAAAATGGCTGCCTTTATTTCTCCCTGAACAGAAGTTTAGAGTTTTGCTACAAATCTTTAGTTTTAAGTCTAGACTGACTGATTAGATGCTTTAATCAGTCCTGTTCTATTCTATCTAGTTCTATCTTTAGCTTTGCTGACTTGCTGGAAGGTAAACCTCTACCCCTGGTTTTCTTCCAGTATTTTCCCTCATTTAGCGTCACCCAGCTTCCCTCTAAATTAGGTCGGGTAATTCCAGTTCCTGAGAGCCAACTTTAAGATTCTTCCTTGATCGAACACACCTAAATTAAATGGCCTAAATACCTCAGAATGTAGTCCAAGGCTTGAACCAGATACCTCAAATTATAGTTCCTACTTCCTGTTCCTAGCTCCTATCCCTTCACCTTTCGCAGGGTTAACAGTTAGAACACTATCCAGGGTAGGAAAGAAGCTCCAGGCTGCTATCCTGAAACCACAAAGCCTTCACAAATGTATAGACCGGACAAAGCTCTCCGTTAAAAAAACAAAAAAATGTGTGACGGTGAGGACATTTGGATACATCAAGAAATAATGTCTTTGTTAAATTCTGTCTATATGTCCTGTCACACAAAGGATTGTGGGTAACCATATAGGTCCTAGTAGCTGCTAAGGACTTTAGGAGGTCCCTATGCCAACTGCTTTGGTGCAAGGAAGCATTGGTCCTAGCTCCTTACTACCTACCAGCACTATTCAGATTGCACTTATTATGGCGGCCACAGATGCCCTTTCATGGTGACTTAGGAGTCAGCTTCTACAGAGTTCTGTAAATCATCTTGATTCACGTGTGTGGGCAAAGGACACATGTAAAGCTTGCAGGATACGGGCCTACAGGAACTGGAATTGCCCGCCCCTGCTACCTGTTTCCTGTGGGTACTGAAGAGGAGTGGATGCTGCCACTGCTGGGTTTAAATGTGTGTCACCTACTCAGAACGCATTCTTACACATTTACAGTGTTTCTTATCGGGCTTTTATCAAACTAACATCCCCTGGCTTTGCATAACAGAGACCTTCATGTATCCGCTCTTTAATAAAAGCCATATTTTGTGGAGTGCATGACTAATAGTTGTGGTGAGGATGCTGTGGAGCTGTCGGGATGACACGCCCTCTGATGTCTGGTGGTTTGGGGCAGTGACTTTGGCTTGAAGACCCATAGCAGGGTCTACTGGTGGAAGTTTTCCAGCTAAAGGAAATAAAATGCAGCAACAGTAAAGACTTTGGAATGCTTTATAACTGGGAGAGCTTTTTCTTAGGTTTGCCAAAGTTGGTTTACATTTGATACAAGTGTAGCATGACGTAAAGCAACACTTAAAGTGAGTCATATAAGCAACACATAGCTGCAAAAGCAACGTCTGTCCCGCATTTTTTGTAAATCTGGTCACCCGATCTAGAACTTTTTCTCCCTGACCTGTCTTGGTCTTAATGATGTGATGTTCTCTAAAGAAAACCTGAGATTAAACTACACTCATGGTGATTTCTGTTAGTTGCATTGAGTTTTATTTAGTTGGGAATTAAAGTTAAATATTCAAATTTATTTTTGCTTCACAATTATGCTAATTTGTGTTTAGATATCACCTCAAATCCCGTACATTAAGGTTAGTGGTTATACTGTTCTAAAAGGGTAATATTTCATACTTTTCTCAAGGCCAACAATGAATCAAGATTTAATCACATTGTGTATTTCAGATTTTATTGATATTATAGTTAGACACTGTTGTTCAGCCAGACCGCAGAACAGTCTTAACCAAACAACTTCTCCACCCCCTGCATTTCTGCAAGATGAAGCATCACTTATTGTCAACAGCTGTTAAATGTTTTTGGTATTCTCCTGCTGTGTGAAAAACAAACAAAATAATCCAGACAAAGCTTTCCAGGAGTTAAAAGCAGATTTTTTTGTTTTTTTTAGTAGTTTTTCCAGAAACACAAAGATATTTTTTATACGTAACAAAACTATTTCAGATTATTGTGTATATATCAGATGCATGCTGAATTAATGGAGAGGTTGATCAGCTAAAATCATTTAGGTGGCTTCTCCTCAGCACATGTGAAGCTGTGAGCTATAATGCTGGTTGAATCGGCAGGTCAATATCCTCTGACTGTTTTAACAATGGTTTATAAGGAAAAAAGAAAAAATCTTTACATTAATGGGTTTGCATGAAGGAAGCGTCTACTAAGAAGATTGCTGCCGAAATTCCAATTTGCTGAATCATCAAGACCTTTAGGCCAAAGTGGCTCGTTAATCACAGCAGGTGGGTGGAGGGGCATTTCAGGCCTTTTATATCCAGTAAAACATGAATCACACGCTGAAATCCTGTAGGAAGAAAACTGAGAGGAACAATCTGTATGAATGGGACATCTGTTCTAGTATACGCTACAAATTCTCAGTGAGTTTGTAGCTTAAGTTTGTAGTAACGGAAGTTAACCAGAACACAACCAATCTGGAGGAGCAGGAAACAGAAAAAGTAGGGCTTCCTTCACTTCCACCTCATTATCTCACCACCAGATGGTGATTTTGGTGGACAGCCTTCTCCCCTCTCTGTCTTCGCCCAAGACATCCAGCTGAAGGTCAGAAGATATGACTATAAAATCAACCATTGACCTCCATGCACCGTTATAGTGCTCTGATGAGCACCCTGACATTTTAACATGGTGTTCATTATGGAAACGTCCACTGATAGGAGAGACAAGCAGCCCTACTGCCTCTACCTGTGGGTCGCTCCCACTGAGCTCTATTTATTCACTGGATTGCTGATTGTCCGTTGGTAGTAAGGGGTTGAAGTGAAGCCACCGGCCACCATATTTGTACTCCCTAGTTAGACCGGTTGCAATGTAAACAATCCGTGCGATACAGCATGGAACAACAATGATGTTCTCATTTTCAGGGGGACTTAATACTTTTAAATTAAAGATAAATTCATCAATTTGACACACACTTTTTGTTTCATAGCATCGGTAGATCAGTTTAACTTATATTATAAAAAATAGGCACATCACATTGCATAGTCAGCATGAAGTCAATGAAGTCTCTAAATCATGTAATATAACATATTATACAAATGAATCACAATAAAATGAATGTGTTAATAGAGCATAATAATACAGATGTGCTGAAGTGCTAAATTGATGATTTACATGTATTTATTACAAGATTTTTTCATAAAGACTGAATAAAAAGTACATGTCTGTTAATGCTACAGTATTTTTCTATTTGTAAATTGTGCATGCATGATGCCATATACTTTTATATATTATATCTGTGCATTAGCCTTTACATCTGACAGATTAACAATAGAGCTAAATTAATGAACCAATTGAATAACTCCACTGAGCTTCAGTTTCTACACCAGCAAAATCACACCAATTGGTAAAATAACAGGCGACATCAAGTTCATATTTTGCTTTTTGCTCTTAGTTACAATAAGAATCTGATCATTTGAAAAAACTGTACATGCAAGTATATATGCACACACTGACACTGACTGCAATTAACTGTGGAATGTCTTCACACAGCCGGCGAACTGCTTGTTTTTGCAGCCAAATGCTACACATGAAGGCATTTTTACTGCGCGTCTCTGTGGGAGTGGGGAGTACCGGTATGGCAGACGGTGGCTTGACTTTTTTGGGCAATCAGCAATGCAGTGAATAAATTGAGATCAGTGGTCGCTCCAGAGTAGAAGGGATCCAGCCTTTCACGAGGATCTGGGTTACAGAGCCTAGGCTGTGCATGGAGGTGAGCCCATCTATTTCTAGTTGGTATCATCCTCCTATCCACACAGGCACAGGCTTCTTCCCCCCAGCGAGGTGACATTATCCCCAGAGACATTGAATGGCATATAATGAGGTACATGCTTCCTAAAGCCATTTCACCCCAGTGCTGCATGTCCTGAGCCCCTAACATCATCAGTGACCCCTCACACCCCCATCATGGACTGTTAACCCTGCTGCCCTCTGGGAAGAAGCTTCACAGCATTTGATGTTGCAGGTTCTGCAACAGCTTCCCCCCCCTGCTGAACTGTTAAACTTTAAATCAAGACTCTGCATCACACTTGAAAACTCATTTGTACTATAAACATGGCTGTTTTTTTCACAATCCCTTTTAATAGAGCACAACTCAATGTTCTACTTTATTTTGCACCATATTTGTTTATTTGCACAGAACTGAACCTTTCCATATCAATGCCTTTAGCACCATGACTTTAAACTAGTTTTCCTTTTATCCTCCACTGTTTACATTCTGATTAGCTGCCCTTTATAAATGGAAATGTTCATTTCACTACTAAGCTGCTCATCCACAGTTGAAAGCTGGATGCATCAAACTTTTTTGTTCACACAAAATGACAAATCTGTCTAAATCTTATTTAAAAATGTCAGTTTTAGGAAATGTTCTTCCACTTTTGAATTTTTCATTGAAATTAGGCATTTCACCCTAGTAGCACTGAAGAAAATATAAATTAGCCATTTTAACGATTTGGCTGTGAGATATCTTAGAAAAAGTGGGTTTTTTTGTTACTTTTTCTATTGTGTTACATCAGAGCATCACTAGTCTTACTGCAAAGAAAAACATGCTGGAACATAGCTTCTTTAAATGACATATCTGAGTTCTGTTTGTGATATTTGTGATTCAGTGAAGTACATCAAACATAATTGCAATACTTTTAATTCTGAAAATATAGAAACCAAAAAAAAAAAGAAGGCAAACTTGACCAGATGAGAACAATCAGTCAGGGTTTATGTTAAAGGTCAGAGAGAAGTTAAGAGGAGGAAATGTCACCACTGAAACTTCTCTGTATACATTTTATGTTTTTGTAAAGTACAAAGAGCTTTTGGAAGCATGCATTGCATGTATGTTGGTCGTATACGTACTTTAAATTGCAATACATAGACCTAAGTGAAAGAAAATCACTGTTTAGGTCGATCACAAGTTGTCTTCACATAAAAACAATAATCTTAGAATAAGTGTTTTAAAAGTACCATTAGTGTGTAGGCATGGTATTACTATAGCACAGCTTGTTAATAAAACATACTAAAAGCTTTATGTTATAGCATAGGCCTAGTTATGTTAGTGCTGCTTGGAACTTTTAACAAAGATCAGAGGCCGAAGCCAGTTAAAAAAAACTAACTATGGGCAAGATGAGGGAGATGTGTTCCAGAAGTATCCTCATTTTAAATAAATAGGAATATTATGGTATTTTTCTTTCCCAAAAACACTATTCTCTAAGTGACACCTAAGACTTTTAAGCCTGTAATTTTTTAAATTGTGATTTTCTGCTTTCAGCTTGTGAGATTTCAGATATCAATATTACATCAAACTACAAAAAAAAAAAAAAAAAAAAAACATTTTAAAGCATAAAGGTTGATATTTTCTGACAGTAAATTCTTTTTTATTGAGAATGACAAGAAGTCAGAGAAATTTGCAAAGAAGAAGAATCATCTCTGGAGTCAGAAAAAGGCTATTTGCATAAATATGTTATACATACTAAAACCAAGTCTCAGAAAAATTTTAGTGTAACATTAAGGGTATTAATATTGAGGTTAACAGGGTGTTTTAGCTTATATTCTGTAAAGTAAGGGGTTTTCCCTCTGTGCTCGCTGTCGCCCCCTGGCGTTCAGGACGCAGCGTGTTTCTGGAAGTCACGTGATTTCTGGGAAACGGGCAGCTGAGCTGAGAGCGGCGCTCCTCAGTAGATCAGCCAGTCTGCAGGCAGCCGCTGAGAAAACAAGGTAAACGAAACTTAAACCTACTTCCCTCATTTCACACGTTACAACCTATTTCTGACTCCTTTATAAACTTATCTGAACCGCTAAGGAGGGCTGCTTCTGATATTTTATTCTTCTAAAACCTTTATCTGTTTATTTAATGGTTAGACTTAAAAAAAAAAAGGAGAAAAAAAAGCAGTTACTTACTAAGAAAGGTAATTTCTTATCTTTTTCTAATTTATTTTAAAAAAATCTTTTATAGAAATAGGATATGCCTTAAATTGTGTTGTTTTACATGTTTTTTTGACTTTGTTTCCATATTTCAGTCGTTTTAATAAAGGAGGTCATGGCAGCAGGAAGGATGAGGTCCACCCGCAGGCTTCGCTCCTGGATAGTCGAGCAGGTGCGTTAAAGTGGGAATTTACTGGGGGGCGGGAGGGGAAGGGTCCCCTTATCTGTGCTTGTTTTTCAGGCCATAAATACGAACACCGGAAGTATCGTTTTTGCTGCCAAGTGAGAAGAATTTGTGAGGCTGATAGTCGCGAAACAGACTAGCTTTTATCATATTCACCAACCTGCCTCTCTGCTCTAATGTTGATATATTTATAAACAAGGATGTAACTTAGTAATGACAGTTGGTGGAGGCGCTCTAAGGGTGGGGGCCGAAGGACCTACAGTTACTCCACCCAAATGCTTTTATTAGGTTTATATATTTTGCAAAAAATGAGCTCAAATATATTTATTGAATGCTTTTCTATTATTGAGAAAATAATAGAACCATAATAAGATAATATTTATATTTATAGATAGTTAGAGAGATGCCTTTTAGTGCATTATATATATATATATATATATATATATAGGGCCCAAAAATTCTGATGCCAAAATTAATAAATCATGCATAGAAGTACAATTTTAATTCCATTGATTCAGAAAAATATGGATATGCTGTATTTTAGATATAAAATCCATACATATGTGGGTCAGTGGATCTGTAGGAGCTGCTGACTGCGTCAGTCTAAATCTGTGCTGTAGGTTGTTAAATTTGGGGATCATCTCTGCAAATGTATGCATTTTGTGATTCCAAAAAAGAAAATTAAAAACAATCCACTCAACTTTGTTTCCAAGTTTGAAGACGTTTTGCTTCCCATCCAGGAAGCTTTTCAATTCATATTCGATGTTTTGAAGTTGAATTGACCCTGTGAGGGTTTGCAGATTGGTGAATGCAATTAAAACTTGGGCCATAGTGAAGTTTCTCAAACAATACATCCTATGATAATCCTAAAAAGACATTAATCCTATTCTTGGAAAGCAGAAAATGGACTAATCTGAGTCTGCTGCAGCTCAGCCCTGCTGGAGAATTAACAGGTTTGGCTGCCAAACTGTTCCAGCTGTTTGTTTTGACGGCTCCCCGCAGTGTCAGACGGAGGAGTAGGAAAACACCAACATGCCACTACCTGCCTTAATCACTATAAACAGTAGATCTGAGGGAACGGAAGCCGTTGAGGAGACATGGGGGAGGACAGCAATGCTTTAGTTAGAGATGTCCCGATCCAGGTTTTTGCACTTCCGATCCGATGCCGACATTGTTTGCGGACTTCCGATCCGATACCGATACTGGCCGATA